CTTACACACAAACCTTCAACATCACACCGACTCTAAGTTACTTCTGAATCAGAGAAGTTACATCACTGGCTTACTATCACATGGTAAGAAGAGAAATCTGAAATGTAGTTCAGGTCTTTAAATTCCAAGTTCAGGTTTGTTACACAACATTCAACTGCCACTCTAGAGATAACAGATTTTGATTTATTTTAAAGAGCAACAAAGACCTTTCGCTTAGTGTTTAACATATATACAAGGATAACATTTATCATCACTTAGCTCATTTAACGCAAAATCCCTATGATTCACTTTAACAAGGGTGGCTGTATCGTGTTATAAAGAAGGACTGGTCCTGTGAGGAGAAGGGACATCGGGCAGTGTCTGTGTGAGAGGCAATTCAAGGGTCACCACAGGACACTCTAGTGTCCACTCTCCACCAGCAGCTCTTTCTCCCCCATTTTTCCCCGTCATATTTTGAAATCCCATCATTTTAAATGCATTACTTTGGGGGATTACATTGCACACATTAAAACTTCCTCCAGATTTGGTGCTCACTAAAGTACAGTGACAGAGAGGTTAGCTTACATTCTCACTTGGATGGATTGACCATGTCTGCTTGGAGCTTTGTGATAGGTGGAGTTCCATAGTCACGTGTAGGTTCCATAGGTTCAATGATCAATGTCAGTTTAAGGGAGGGGGCAATAGTACTCGTTCATCAGTATCAGTAGTTAAGTGAAAACAGATTTTACTTGTTATAACTATACTAAGCTATGCAAATCACTAACACCTCTGGGTGAATTTATCTGATAACTTTTTTAATATTAGAAAGGGAGAGATAGGAGAGACAGGAGAGAAAGATAATTCTGAAGCTAACGCTTGGATAATTATATGTTATCGTGCGTATCAGAGCACTTTTGAGAGCAAAAAGGGGTCTATTAACAAAACTCCAAGACAATATATAATTGTGACAGGGTGGCGTGGTCACCTGGGCTCTGGGGAAAGGCAGTCCCTCACTGACAAAAATATATACTAAGGAGTTCCTCCTTCAAATAAGTCCACCAACGTCTCTTCCCCAATGCTACAGCTTTTTCACAGCTCTGAATTCCAGGGATCATATTTCTCCAACAGCAAAGAAAAACTGAAGCAATTACATCTGGGTAGGATTCCTGAGAGCCTGAGAGATTCACTATGGAGCACATGAAAGAAGTAAAGTCAATTTGCAATTTTTTTCAGAGGCTGATTATCCAACTAATGTATTATTTTCTGGACCTCTGTTTTATTTCTTCCACCAGTTAATTGAATAAAATGTCAGTAGTGATAAGAAGATTTGGTGGGGAAGAAGATGAAGCTATTACATGAAATGAGTTTGGGGAATTACCAATGGATTTCAATTATGCATATTACTCTTCCTGAAAGTGATCGACTGGGAAGAGTGGTGATTCAGCTGGACAACCTTGCTATTTATAAGATACAGCTGGCCTTGTTCATTTTTGCTTCTTTGTACACAACACACCTTATATGTGCATTTATGAACACACAAATCCTCACTTCTCCAGTCCTATTATTTGTGATTAATAAGATTTTTAAAAGAATTGATACATGATCATTTAAATCAACTTGCAGTAATAAAATAAGGGCATTAAATCATTCCATAGTCAATGTCTTTTTACTGAAGAAAGAAGATACAAAGAAGAAAACATTGTTGAGCTATGGTTTCGAAGGGAAGAAAAACTACTAGAACCCACGTGGTGTATGATGAATTGCATGTATGCCTACTAAGCTGTCTTTAAACGCAATTACTATGTGAGCTTAAGAGAATATTTAAAGTGAAAGAGATGCACTATGAAATTTAAAAAATACATTGCCAGTACACAACGGTGTTGATTTTGCAGTAGCCCTTTCCAAATTTAATTGGATATTCTTTTTATTCATTCAAATCTTAATTATACTCCAAAGTCCAAATTCAAGTCCACTTCCCTATTGAAGGTTGTTGCCTATTACAGGTTCACAGAGTCTGCCTCTGTTCTTAGCTTTTAATGCCTATAATCCTAGTTGTTCACCTAGTTTATACTAACTTGACTTATTACTCTATAGTTATCTTACATAATGATCTTTTGATTTTTGAATTACTGTTGAATTTTCACAGGAGAAACCAGCATTATCTTCCAGACTACACTGTAAATTCTTCAACCGTGGGGGCCATTTATGATCTATCCTAATATCTTTGTCCAAGATCCTACAGAATTTTGACTGTGTTGAGGTTGAACCATATGAAATTGCTGAACATTTTATCAGTCCGACCTGTAAAAAGAAAATTTCACATGGCTTAACCTACAAATAGTTGCTCTAGAAATAATTATGTGATTATTTGTGGGATTACATTGTGAGATCAATGAGGGATTAAAGAGTGGGATTGTATTTAAACTTTAAATTCTTATTTGTAAACATATTTATGAATGTAAGTATAAAATATACATGTACTGATGAAGTTTTTTTAAATAGATGATTAAGTTGTGGTTTTAGCTTTTCAGGTAGACATCTACCCCCAGACAGTTCTTCCAGTAACTTTCAGACCTGATTTTTAAAGAAATGAATATGATTGGTCTTTTCCAGGCAAATAACTCTATCTGAAATAACAGATCATAAGGTACTGGCTCTCAGCGTGGTCATGCTTATATTAAATTATTTTCTGGCACTGTATAGTTGTTGATAAAATTATTCTGTGGAATATTAGTAATCTCTATTTTGAATGCTTACAGTATGGCAGGCATTACTCTAAACATTTCACATCTATGAACTCATTGAATCCTTTCCTATCTTCTTTTTGCAGATGTGCAAATTGAGACATGATGAAGTAATTTGTTTGGCATCACATAGCTAATAATGATAGAACTGGGTGTCAAAGTCAGGCAGTCTGACTTCAACCCTTCTTTCAAATACCTTGGTGAAGCTAACCAATAGGAATAGAGTTATCTAAAAATTAAAATATATTAAAAATTGGTTAGCCTTGTGAAATGTATAGCATCCAGTGAAGACTTTGTAATTTGGAGTTACAGAGTTGAATAGAATATACCTTGGGCTTGGAGACCTGCAGTTCTAGTTATTTTATAAGCAACTCAAAATCATTTTGAATTATAGTATGGCAGTTTCCTGCATTAAAAACTGGAATTTGTAGAAGGGGAAGAGTAATAAGTCATATAACACTTGAAAATAAGGTCCCTTAATTAATTAGCAGATTCATTTTCATATTTGGTTATGAATACAATATGCAAGTACTTTTGTAAAGTTATGTTTTTTGCTACTTTTTAATAATCAGTATATGTTCTCTAATGCAAGTATCTGTTACTTTATTTTTTTACTTGAAAACTATACAAAGTCACACAAGCAGAGCATAAATAAGGCTGCTTAACTGTATACAGTAATCAATAAATAGGCTTATATACATATACAATGTGCATCATATACACATATATAATATGTTTAGTAATAAAATTTGTCTTAATTCACATCAAGTATTTTTTATCATTAATTTTTTTATCATTTGATTTTTGTTATAATTTTTTATCATTTGATTTTTGTTATAATAATTTAAAGTATTTTTTGTCATTTGATTTTTGTTATAATAATTTAAAATCCAGGGTTGTTCCCTCTATTTTTAGATGAGAAGAAAGATACTTTCCTCTGAAATTCAACATCAAACTAGTGAGCATATTATTGGGTGCAGAATTAGGCATTTTGCTTCAAGTTTCTGGGCTTTAAGTTGATTGGCTGGAAAAATGAAGTCATTAAATTAGATGATTTCATGTTGTTCAGACGATGACTTTCTGCAAATGCCTCACAGCAGAATTTATTAGTTTTTTAAAAAATCATTAAATTTATTGGGGTGATGTTGCTAAATAAAATTATACAGGTTTCAAGTACACAACTCTGTAACACATCATCTGTATTTCGAGTTGTGTGTTCACTCAAAGTCAAGTTTCCTTCCATCACCTCTTATGCCCCGTGCCCTCTGCACTCTTCGGCCTCCCCCACCCCCTTTCCCTCTGGTAATCACCAGGTTGTTGTTGGTCTCTCTGAGTTTCCTTGTTTTTTTCTTAATCCCCTCACCTTTCTTCCCATTCCCTGAGTTTCCTTCCCCTCTGACAGCTGTCAGTCTGTCCTCTGTATTTAAAAGACTGTTCCTATTTTGCTTGTTAGTTCAATTTGTTCATTAGATTCCACATGCAAGTGAAATCACATGGTATTTGTCTTCCTCTGACTGGCTTATCTCACTTAGTGTAATACTCTCCAGGTCTACCCGCCGTTACGCACATCTATTGTCTAGGATGTGCAATTATTTTTAACCCTCACTGGAGGACATGCCCATTGACGTCAGTGAGAAGGGAAGGGAGGACTGAGGGAGGGACAGAGAGGGATAAAGAGAGTGAGACAGAGAAACTACAATTGGTTGTCTCTCGTACACGACCTAACTGATTGGGGATCATGCCCACAACCTAGGCATGCACCCTGACCTGGAAGCAAACCTGCTATCCTTTGGATGACGCACCAACTAATTGAGCCACACTGAACCGGGATAGGAGGTGCAAATTTGTGTCTCCTAGTAAATAAGCTCAGCATACCTTTCTTTTTAAGGAAATATCTAAAGGAGAATGGTCATGGGTTTTTCTTAGTACAGACTTAGGAGTCTGATGTTATAAGGTGAGCCATTCAGAGGACTTTTCTAAATGGAGACTCAAGAAGCTGTTCCCCACGGCTGAGTGCGGGAAGAGGAGCTGGGAGGAGGTTGGAGCTGACGTATTGTGGCCCAGGAGGCCTATCATTTTCAAGTCACATCTTCCTGAACTTCTTGAGTTTTCTGATCATTTCCATGAATTAATTTTTTAATGTCATTAGGGGCTATCACAAAGAAATTATGGGCCATTCTGTTGTCATTTCAGCTTTAGGAGAAGTTTTTGAAAAGCCAAATTGAACTAGTGTTCAAGTTCAATCGGGGAGAAGAAGGTGGTGTTGGGCAAGGTTACCTTCTTACAGGCGGTGACGGAGCTCCCCAGGCTGCTTCCCGAGCTGCTGGCGCCGCCCTGCTGGGCCGCCGGGGCCTCACACATCAGTAGTGACTCCGCGTTGCTGTTTGTGCCCAAAACACAAGAGAGCACATGTTAGTCCAGTGAGCCATCTCCGTATTCAGACGGGAAGAAACACGATGGGCCTTATCAAAAATCATCTGTCCAGACTGGCTGACTGCTGCAAATCCTCCTGCTGACGTTTTTGGGTTGGCCACACTTCTCTCACTGGGGGACCACTGAGAGCTATTCTGCTGGCAATCCGAAACCGCCGCCCAGTGCCGAGGTGGACGCAATGATCTGCCTGACTTCTGGCTCTGGTGACATCTTTTCTTTTATTGTTTTATATTTAAATTGTATTTTCCAATTACAGTTGACATTCAATATTATTTTGTATTCGTTTCAAGTGTGCAGAATAGTAGTTAGACAATCATATGCAATATTTCACAAAGTATTCCCCCCCGATATGTCCAGCATCGATCTGACACCATGCGTAGTTATTACAATATTATTGACTATATTGCCTGTGCTGTACTTTACATCCCCACGACTATTTGGTAACTACTTATTTTTACTTCTTAATCCCTTTACCTTTTTCACCCATCAGAATGCCCCCACCTCTGGCAACCATCCATCTGGTCTCTGTATCTATGAGTCTGCTTCTGTTTTGTTAACATCTTTTCTTAAACAAGAGGTTTCAAAACTCGAGTAGTATCTTTCCATCTCTACTCATTTTATTTTTTTTTAAATAAGGGGAAATGTAATTTTAATCAGGAGGCAGGGAGGTACCATGAAAAGAGAATGAACTTTCAAAAACACAGATCATCTCTCCTTCTTTTCATTGAGATATATTTGATGTGTGACATGTGTAAATGTAAGGTGTAGGGCATGTTAATTACTCCGGCCACTAAAAAGAAATGGTCATTATGAAATCAGGTCCCCTCTTTATGGACTTGTCGCTGGAGGCAGGGCAGTATCTCAGCTCCTCTGCCTCCAAAATTCTAGACTTTATATCTCTGGTGCCTGTCTCTGTCCAATCTCGGTGGCTTTGACGATACACAGGGCTGTACCAGTACTTTAAAACATTTAAAATCACTGCTACATCCTCAAGATGTGATAAAAATTGAAATTGTTACCAAATCTGCTTCTCATGATTTGATTGGAGATGTTAAATAAGATCAATTTAAACACAATGACCCTCTGAATCTTCAAGATTTTTAAATATTTCTTCTCTGAAAATGAAATTTGGAATAAAAAGAGTACTGATATTTCAAGTCTACATATTTTATTTTTTGATGTTCACCACATAGAACATACACAATTCATTAACATACATGTTTGAAATATGATCCTAATGATTCCTTATATAATTATCAACCCAACATATAGAATTTTTCTCTTAAAATAAGCACCAAGCCCTGGCTGGCATAGCTCAGTGGATTGAGCACGGGCTGTGAACCAAAGCATCGCAGGTTCAATTCTCAGTCAGGGCACATACCTGGGTTGCAGGCCATGATCCCCAGCAACCGCACATTGATGTTTCTCTCTCTCTCTCTTTCTCCCTCCCTGCCCTCTCTAAAAAAATAAATAAATAAATAAAATCTTTTTTAAAAAGCACCAAATAAATTGGTTAAACAAGCAATGTATTTATTATATATAACCCTCATGATTTAAGATCTAAATTAGTCAAATTTATTACTTTGTAATTAATTAGCCATAAGTCAAACAGTACATGAATGCTGTCTGTTAGTATTTCCTTTATTAGTTACTGTGAATGGCTCTTTAAAAACGTGCTGATGGTGCTATGTTACAGATCATCAACTCAGGTAAATATTGGACAGAATAGTTCAAGAAAAATCTGTTTTAAATTTTTATGTATTATTTTCTGAGTAACGGCCACACTAAGAACTAATTTAAATTAAAGGATATTGCCATGTTACCTCTCCTTAACTGAGAAAAGATGGAGGAAGGAAGGAAGGAAGGAAGGAAGGAAGGAAGGAAGGAAGGAAGGGAGGAAGGGAGGGAGGGAGGGAGGGAGGGGAAGGAAGAGAAGGAGGGAGGGAGAAAAGAATGCCTAGATTTTCTGGGCCTGTCTCTTCATTGATAAATCAAATGTTTGGCATAAATTCTCCCTAGCTCTAAAAGTCTCTTGCAAAGTGTCATGGAGGTCCTGAGTTTTTATCCCCATTTTTACCAGTTTCCCACCATGTGGGGCCTATAACATTTTAAGCTGCCATTTAACTATGTCTGTAACTTAAATGTAACTGCAGATGTGACCTTCTGAATGCTTTTTGGCCACAAGAGAGTTTGCTTTTACCCAAACACCAAACAGTTTCGAAATCATATGCACATAAAAGATAAGACCATAGACCAAGCTGACTTTGGTCCATGATAACTTATCCCATGAGTTAAGGAAATCGTATGTTATTTCTTCCAGGAGTCAGTCAGTCCCTGTGTGCAGAAGGTCAGGGAGACAAGCTGAAGAGTCACACAACATGTGTTCTGTTGCTCTTGTGTCCCCTAGGCAGCTCTGATGATCTAGTGAAGACCTCCCATCCCAGGACTTATGTCTATTGTTAGAATACTTCCCGTGTCTCTTTCCAGGGTTAGCAATCCTGGGAGTGGGAATTAGGCAGGATGAGAAGTGAGGTTGAGACAGACCTGACATTGTGTAAGACAGAGTAAAAACAGAGCTTCAGTAATCTCTGATCACTCTAGAGGGGAATCGCATTTAACTAGGGCAGAGTTGGGTAAGTCCAAAATCTGGGTGTAATGGGGACATAGAGAAAAGGAAAAGCTCACCTATGCAAATTTCTTCTTTCCCTACACAGCACATTGTATATATATGTCTTCAAGCAGGCAAGGTGCTATAGGAAGTGTTATACACACAAAAAGTTTAAGAACTGCTGAGCAATCAGGTGCTAGGAAGACAGGGCAAGTCTACCCACGTATCTCGGTATGAAAGCCCTTCTGCTAAGATGACTGCGAGATCCTGCTTAGAAATGAAGGTGAGGAAGGGAATTTCAAAGTCTTGCTTGCCTTCAGGGCTTACTCCATTTTTCCTAATGCTAAGCCTGTATAGCATTCATAAAATAATTTTTAAAATATACATTTGTTTATTGTGAGAATTAAATGAGGCTGTGGAGTCACAGAGTGGGACTAAAGTCAGTGCATGGCTCGGTAGCGAGTGCGATTCAATTCTACTCCAGTATTCAAAGTGAAATCATCTTGTCTCCCGACACACGTGAGAAATCAATTCAATGATGCCTGATATCCAAAACTAAATGTAAAGAGGCCTTTATCTTTTAGACCTTGGGATATGGGTGTGAATTTCCAGGAGGTGACTTTACAACACAGCCCAAACTGTTCTCATGCCTTTGGGGTGGAGGAGGAATTTTCGGAGTATTGGCAAAGACGCTGTCCTTGAACTGTAGAGAAGCAGAACGTTGGCTGCTACAGGAAGAGGCAAAGACGGCAGCAAAATGAAACCTGCACATTCTTTCAAATGAGTTCGACTTGACATTAAAGCAACTGCTGTCAAAGCATCATAACTTGTTCCTTATGGGGAAGGCTGCAAGTTCTTCCTGGGGATGTTTTCCTTTGATTTGGACAAGTGTTGACAATATTTATTAAGGACATCCATTCAAATCAGTTTCATGCTGCAACTGCTAAATGGGTTTCAAGGAAGAAGGAGATCCAGGTAGAAAAAAAGACACAAAAGCCGAATTGGAAGTAGTGACTTCAGAAATATTATGGGAAGAGAAGTAGGCTTCTTTACAGAAAATGTCATTTCTGAGTATGCTGCTGAGTTGCCCCTGTGCTGTAATCACTGATGACCCATGCATGGTGAATAAGTAGGTCACCATCAGCAGTGACAATGGCTTAGGGAATATTCAGCTATTTCCCCAGAAAGCAGCAACCAGTGCCTGGAAATTGAGTTCTCTATATGTTGTCACTGAAAGTCTGGTCTGTCAACCAGGAGCATTAATATTGCCTGGGAGCTGGTGAGCCACCCAGCAGTTCAGGTCTCTCCCTGGGACTACTGAATCAGAATCTGCATTTTGACATTCAACTCAGGTAACATATATATCCATTAAAGCTTAAGAAGCACTTATCAGGCATTCTCATGCTGCATCTGTTTGCACATGCTGTTCCTTCTTTTAGGAACACCCTTCCTGATCCCCTCCTTCCTCCTAGGCAATCCCCACTCTACCCATTTTTATCACCTCCTGTACCTCCCTCCTCCTTTCCCTCTGTCAAGGAAGCCACTCTTCTCCAACCTTCCTCCAATGTCCCAGGCATACACATATACACTCACACCCTCACCTCTCCTCTATCCCCACATTCCCACCCTCACTCCAACCCAAGAAGTGAGATAGACACTTTTCTAGTATGTCCCAACAGCACCCTGAACCATGTCCTGTTGTAGCTTTTGTCAAAATGGCATATAATTGTATAATATTTGTCTGTCTCATTAGGCTATAAGTAATGAAGGAGGGGGGAACCCTTAGGACCTAGACCAGCGCTAGGTAGGCTAAGTAGTGATGGGTGCTGAATTAGTATCTATTAGTGTTGTTTGTTCTTATCTTTCTGTGCGTCCTGGCTGACCTCAAAAGATTATGCACAAAAGAGTGAATTCAAAGCTAAATTTTCTGCAGTGGTGGCAGATGGCGGAATAAGCCACATCTGAGGAGACAATTTAGAGAACATCCCTGGATATTTCTGATAGAAAAGGATCGTGCTGCTATTGTTTGTTACTAATATGTCAAGTAAACACAGTGTAAGGTTTAACAATGTTAACAGATTCTTAGAGAGAAGGTTTGCTCTTATCTTCTCCCCTTCTTTAAAGAATGCTTTTAGCAAAATGTAGTAATTGCCATTGGTGTGATTGCTTCAGTTTTATTAAGGATATCTATTCTTGAGCTTTCTTCTAAATCCTCTAATCTCAACACTGGAAAAAACAAAAGGACTCACATCTATCACAAGAAATCTTGAGCAAGAAATTGAGTTGTTTTGGTTAAAATTAATTTAATAAATTTAGAGGATTTTAAAACACAGCTTCTC